GGATGGGGACGGTGACTGGGATGGAGATGGCAATGGGGTTGGGTCGGGATGGAATGGGAGGGGATTGGGATTGGGATTGGGGATTGGGATTGGGATTGGGATTGGGATTGGGATTGGGATTGGGGATTGGGATTGGGATTGGGATTGGGATTGGGGATTGGGATTGGGATTGGGGATTGGGATTGGGGATTGGGATTGGGGATTGGGATTGGGATTGGGGATAGGAATAGGGTGGGGACTGGGATGGGGATGGGATGAACATGGAGATGGAGCCAGATGGGGGCTGTGTGACATGGGGACGGCACCGGCACGGGGATGGGGGTCCGCAGGGCCCCGTGGGGGCAGCCGGGGACCCCCCCACCCCACCTCCATCACCAGGACCACCCCTTTCCCCCCCCCAGACACCCCCCGGCCCCCCGCCCGTCCAGCCCGGACCCCCCGAACCTTTTTGAGGAGAAACCCGAGCAAAGCACCAGCATCGGCCAGATCCAACCCGAGCTCTACCAACCCGGCGAGGGCGACGCTCGACGCGGGGGCTCGGGGGGCTCCGGGGGGGGGACTCCCTGCGGGAGGCTGAGCGTCGCCTTGCGCTACGCCTACGGCACCGAGCAGCTGGTGGTGAGGGTCCTGCGCGCCCGCGACCTCCCCGCCAAGGACGCCAACGGCTTCTCCGACCCCTACGTCAAGATGTACCTCCTGCCCGACCGCAAGAAGAAATTCCAGACCAAGGTGCACCGGCGGACGCTCAACCCCGTCTTCGACGAGACCTTCAGCTTCGGGGTGCCCTTCGCCGAGCTGCCCGCCCGCCGCTTGCACTTCAGCGTCTACGACTTCGACCGCTTCTCGCGGCACGACCTGATCGGGCAGGTGGTGCTGGATAACCTGCTGGAGGCGGCCGAGCGCGACGGCGAGACCCCCATCTGGAGGGACATCCTGGAGGCCACCGCGGTGAGGCGGCCGCCGGGGGGGTGGGGAGGGGGACACGGGGACGCTGGTGGGCTCCGGTGCGGGTGCGTGTCTGCAGATGCGTTCATGGATGCGTTTGCAGCCTCAGTTGCAGATGCATTTGCACCTCTGTTCTCATGTTTGTTTGCAGATGCATTTGCAGAATTTGTTTGCAGCCTTATTTGCAGGTGCATTTGCACCTCTGTTCTCACATACGCCTGGAGATGCATTTACAGGATGTGTTTGCAGCCTTATTTGCAGGTGCATTTGCACTGCTGGTCTCACGTGCATTTATAGATGCATTTGCAGGATGGGTTTGCAGATGTGTTCATGGGATGCATTTGCAGCCTCGGTTGCAGATGCATTTGCGCCTCTCGTCTCAAATGCAGTTGGAGATGCATTTGTGGGATGCATTTGCAGCCTCAGTTGCAGACACATTTATACCTCTGGTCTCACATGCATTTGTAGTATTTGTAGTACATTCACTTGCAGGTGCATTTGCAGGATGCCTTTATAACATTGGTTGCAGGTGCACTTGTACCTTGTCTCGTGCATTTGCAGATAGATTTGTGTATGCATTTGCAGATGCATTTGCAAGACAAGTTTGCAAGACACCAATTGTACATACGTTTGCAAATGCATTTCCAGATGTGTTTGCAGGATGCATTTGCAGCCTCAATTGTAGATTAATTTCCACCTCTGGTTTCATGTGCATTTGCAGAATGTATTTGCAGATGAATTTGTGAGACATGTTTGTAAGACTCCATTTGTAGATGCATTTGCAGATACATTCATGGGATGCATTTGCAGCCTTGCTTGCAGATGCATTTGTATCTCTTGTCTCGTGTTCATTTGCAAATGCATTTGCAGATGCATTTGCAAGACATGTTTGCAAGACACCAATTGTACATACATTTGCAGATGTATTTGTAGGATGTTTGCAGGATGTGTTTGCAAGATGCGTTTGCAAATGCATTCATGGGATGCATTTGCAGCCTCGGTTGCAGATGCATTTGCACTTCTGGTCTCACATGCATTTGTAGGATGCATTTGCAGGTTATTTAGTGAGACATGTTTGCAAGACACCATTTGTAGATGCATCTGCAGGTACTTTTGCCAAATGCATTTGCATCCGTGATTGCAGGCAGACTCATTTACACTTTTATTCTCACTTTCATTTGTAGATGCATTTGCAGGATACATTTGCATCCTCGATCGCAGATGCATTTGTACCTCTGGTCTCATGTGCATTTGGAGATGAGTTTGCAAGACATGCTTGCAAGACACCATTTGCAGGATGCACTTGCAGATGGTTTTGCAGGATGCATTTGCATCCTTGATCGAAGACTCATTTGCACCTCTGGTCTCACATGCATTTGTAGATGCATTTGAAAGATGTGTTTGCAGATGTGTTCATGGGACGCATTTGCAGATGCATTTGCAGCCTCAATTGCAGATGCATTTGTATCCCCCGTCTCAATTGCATTTGTAGATGCATTTTCAGGACGCATCTGCAGCCTTGATTGCAGAAGCTCTGCAATCAAAATCAAAACCAAATGCACCTCTGGTCTTACATGCATTTTCAGATGTTTGTGGTTTTTTTTGCAGATGCAGATCTGTTTGCAAGACATGTTTGCAAGGCATTATTTGTAGATGCACTTGCAGATGTATTTGCAGGATGTACTTGCAGCCTTGGTTGCAGATGCATGTGTACCTCTGGTCTCACATGCATTTGCAGGTGCATTTGCAAGTGCATTTGCAGATACGTTTGCAAGACAACATTTATAGATGCATTTATACCTCTGGTTTCACAAATATTTGCATACATTTGCAGGATGTGTTTGCAGACTCAAATGCAGACGCATTCGCAGTCTGGTCTCACATGCATTTGAGGATGCGTTTGCAGAATGTGTTTGCAGTCTTGGTTGCAGATGCATTTGTTCCTCTGGTTTTGCATGCACATGCAGGTGCATTTGGAGATGCGTTTGCGAGGAATGTTTGCAAGACATTGTTTGTAGGTGCATTTGTAGCTCAGGTCTCATTAGCATTTGTAGATGCATTTGTAGATGCATTTGCAGATGAATTTGCAAAACATGCTTGCAAGACAACATTTTGAAGATCCATTTGCAGCTCTGGTCTTACGTTAATTTGAGGATGTGTTTGCAGAATGTTTTTGCAGTCTTGGTTACAGATGTTTGTACCTCTGGTTTAACATGTGCATTTACAGGATGCATTTACAGATATGTTTGCAAGACATGTTTACAAAACATCATTTATAGATGCATTTTTATCTCTGCTCTCACATCTATTTGCAGGATGCATTTGTAGATGCATTTGCAGGATGCATCTGCAGCTTCAAACGCAGATGCATTTGTCCCTCTGGTCTCACATGCATTTGCAGATGCATTTGCAGAATGCATTTGCAAGATACATTTGCCACCTCGTTTGCAGATGTATTTGTAGCTCCATTCACACATGCATTTGATGCTCCAGTCACACATGCAGATGCAGTTGCAGGGTGCATTAGTACTGTCATTTTCAGATACTTTTACAGCTCTTGTCTCAGATGCATTTGCAGATGCACTTGAGGATGCATTTGCAGCTCCAGCCACACATTTTTTTCATTTCTATTTGCATGCATTACTGGTCATGGACACATTTGAAAATGTATTTGGAAGACACATTTACAGCCTTCATTGCAGATGCACTTGCAGCCTCATTTGCAGACGCATTTGCAGCCTCACTTGCAGGTGCATTTGCAAATGCTGCTCCAGATGCAGGTGCATTTACAAATGCATCATGGCCTTGTTTGCGGATGCATTTGCAGCTCCAGTTGCAGGTGCATTTGCAGCTCCAGCCCTACATGCACTTGCAGATGCCTTTGCAGCTGTGCTCATGGATGCATTTCCAGGTGCATCGGCAGCTGCATTGCCAGCCTTGTTTGCAGACACATTTTTCCTTCAGCTACAGGTGCGTTTGTAGATGCATTTGCAGCGCCACTCGCAGGTGCATTTGCAGATGTGCTTGCAAATGCATCGCAGCCCGGGTTGCAGACGTGCGTGCAAATTTGCACGTGCATTGCCAGCCTCGTTTGGAGGCGCGTGTGCAGTTCAGTCCCGGAGCAGGAGCTGAACCCCAACCAGAAGCATCCCCTACCTGTGACCTCTGACCCCCCTGTGACCCTTAACCCTATCGACCTCTGACCCCACTGTGACCCCTGATCCCTTTGCCCCCATCCCCAAACCTGCTGCCACCCCCAACCTCCCCCGTGCCCTTTCCCCCTGGCCCCGTCCCCAAACCTGATGCCCGCTGACCCCACTGATCTTTGACCCCGTGACCTCGGGCTCCGCTGACCTTTGACCCCTGCTGCCCTTTGCCCCCGGCAGGAGAAGGCGGACCTGGGGGAGGTGAACTTCTCGCTGTGCTACCTGCCCACGGCCGGGCGCCTGACGGTCACCGTCATCCGCGCCTCCAACCTGCGCGCCATGGACCTGACCGGCTTCTCGGGTGAGAGGGGACACGGGGACCCCTGGGGACATGGGGACACGGGGGGACATGGGGACATGGAGGGACATGGGGACACGGAGGGACATGGGGACATTGCAGGACATGGGGACATGGCAGAATAAGGGGGTGCAGAGGGATATGGGGACATCATGGGAGGACGTAAGGACGCTGGGGGACATGGCGTGTCCAACTTGTCCCCATGAGATGACCATGGGGTGGCTGCAGGGCTCCATGGGGTGGCCGTGGGGCTCTGTAGGACACCATGGGATGACCATAGGGCACCATGGGATGGCCATGGGGCTCTGTAGGACACCATAGGATGACCATGGGACACCATGGGATGGCCATGGGGTTCTATAGGACACCACAGGATGACCATGGGACACCGTGGGATGGCTGTGGGGCTCTGTAGGACACCATGGGGTGGCTGTAGGGCACCATAGGATGACCATGGGTCACCATGGGATGGCCATGGGGCTCTGTAGGACACCATGGGATTGAGGAGGACTCTATAGGGCACCATGGGATGATGGTAGGGAACAATGGGATGGCCGTGGGGCTCTGTAGGACACCAAGGGATGACCATGGGACACCATGGGATGGCTGTGGGGCTCTGTAGAACACATGGGATGGCTGTAGGGCACCATGGGATGACCATGGGGCTCTGTAGGGCACCATGGGATGACCATGGGGCTCTGCAGGATACCAAGGAGTGACCATAGGGCACCATGAGATGGCCATGGGGTTCTATAGGACACCATGGGATGACCATGGGTCACCATGGGATGGCCATGGGGCTCTGTAGGGCACCATGGGATGACCATGGGGCTCTGCAGGATACCAAGGAGTGACCATAGGGCACCATGAGATGGCCATGGGGTTCTATAGGACACCACAGGATGACCATAGGGCACCATGGGATGACCATGGGGCTCTGTAGGACACCAAGGGATGACCATGGGTCACCATGGGATGGCTGTGGGGCTCTGTAGAACACATGGGATGGCTGTAGGGCACCATGGGATGACCATGGGGCTCTGTAGGGCACCATGGGATGACCATGGGGCTCTGCAGGATACCAAGGAGTGACCATAGGGCACCATGAGATGGCCATGGGGTTCTATAGGACACCATGGGATGACCATGGGTCACCATGGGATGGCCATGGGGCTCTGTAGGGCACCATGGGATGACCATGGGGCTCTGCAGGATACCAAGGAGTGACCATAGGGCACCATGAGATGGCCATGGGGTTCTATAGGACACCATGGGATGACCATGGGTCACCATGGGATGGCCATGGGGCTCTGTAGGGCACCATGGGATGACCATGGGGCTCTGCAGGATACCAAGGAGTGACCATAGGGCACCATGAGATGGCCATGGGGTTCTATAGGACACCACAGGATGACCATAGGGCACCATGGGATGACCATGGGGCTCTGTAGGACACCAAGGGATGACCATGGGACACCATGGGATGGCCATGGAGCTCTATAGGGCACCATGGGATGGCCGTGGGGCTCTGTAGGACACCATGGGATGGCCATGGGATTCTACAGGACACCAAGGGATGACCATGGGACACCATGGGATGGCCATGGGGCTCTGTAGGACACCATGGGATTGAGGAGGGCTCTATAGGGCACCATGGGATGATGGTAGGGAACAATGGGATGACCATGGGACACCATGGGATGGCCGTGGGGCTCTGTAGGACACCATGGGATGGCGGAGGGCTCTATAGGGCACCGTGGGGCGGCCGTGGGGCTTTAGGGGATGCCGTGGGGCTGCCCCCCCCCCCCCGTCCCCGCAGACCCCTACGTGAAGGCCTCGCTGATGGCGGAGGGCCGGCGGCTGAAGAAGCGCAAGACGTCCATCAAGAAGAACACCCTGAACCCCAGCTACAACGAGGCGCTGGTGTTCGACGTCCCGCACGAGAGCGTGCACCACGTCAGCCTCACCATCGCCGTGGTCGACTACGACTGGTGAGGGGGGGGTCGGCGCCCTCGTGCGAGGGGTCTCGCCCCGTCTCGGGGTGGTCCCGAGCACGTCTGGGTCCCCTTGGGGGGGCAAGGGGAGGTTTTGGGGTCGTCGGGCAGTTGGGTCCTCATATTGGGGTGATCCTGTTCACCTGGGTCACCTTGGTGGGCACGGGGAGCTTTTAGAGTCCCCAGGTACTTGGGTCCTCATATTGGGGTGACCCCTTGACATTTTGGTTCCATTGGGGGGCATGGGGAGCTTTTAGGGTCCCCACGTACTTGGGTCCCCACATTGAGGGGACTCTCGAACATCTGGGTGTCATTGGGGGGCACGGGAATCTTTTGGGGTCTCCGGGCAGTTGAGTCCCCATGTTGGGGTGATCCTGTTCACCTGGGTCCCCTTGGTGGGCACGGGGAGCTTTTGGGGTCCTCGGACACTTGGGTCCCCGTATTGGGGTGACCCCTAGACATCTGGATCCCCTTGGTGGGCAGTGGGAGGATTTAGGGTCCCTGGGCACTTGGGTCCCCATATTGGGGTGACCCATGGACATCTGGATCCCCTTGGTGGGCATGGGGAGCATTTGGGGTCCCCAGGCACTTGGGTCCCCATATTGGGGTGACCCCTTGACATTTTGGTTCCATTGGGGAGCATGGGGAGCTTTTAGGGTCCCCACGTACTTGGGTCCCCATATTGAGGGGACTCTCGAACATCTGGGTGTCATTGGGGGGCACGGGAAGCTTTTGGGGTCCCCAAGCACTTGGGTCCCCATATTGGGGTGACCCCTGGACATCTGGGTCCCCTTGGTGGTCATGGGGAGCATTTGGGGTCCCCAGGCACTTGGGTCCCCACATTGGGGTGACCCCTTGACATTTTGGTTCCATTGGGGAGCATGGGGAGCTTTTAGGGTCCCCAGGTACTTGGGTCCCCATATTGAGGGGACTCGCGAACATCTGGGTGTCATTGGGGGGCACGGGGAGCTTTTGGGGTCCCCAAGCACTTGGGTCCCCATATTGGGGTGACCCCTGGACATCTGGGTCCCCTTGGTGGGCATGGGGAGCATTTGGGGTCCCAAGGCACCCGGGTCCCCACATTGGGGTTTCTCCCGGCCATCTGGGTCCCGCTGATGGTCACGGGGAGTTTTTGGGGTCCCGGGGGTGTCCCCGGTCCCCTGGGTGCCACCGTGGCTCCCGCAGCATCGGGCACAACGAGGTGATCGGGATGTGCCGGGTGGGCAGCGACGCCGAGGGGCCGGGCCGCGAGCACTGGGCCGAGATGTTGGCCAACCCCCGCAAACCCATCGAGCACTGGCACACGCTGGTCGAGGTGAGACCCCCCCGGCACCCATGGGACCCCCCCGGCACCCATGGGATCCCCCCAGTACCAATGGGATCCCCCGGCACCCATGGGACCCCCCCAGCACCAATGGGATCCCCCAGTACCCATAGGATATCCCCCAATGTCTATAGGATTGCCTGGCTCCCATGGGACTCCTTGTCACCCATGGGACCCCCCCAGCACCCATGGGACCCCCCTGGCACCCATAGGAACCCCCAGTACCCATAGGACCCCCCTGGTACCTATAGGATAACCTCAATGTCTATAGGATCACCTGGCTCCCATGGGACCCCCCAGCACCCATGGGACCCCCCCGGCACCCATGGGACCCCCCAGCACCCATGGGACCCCCCCAGCACCCATAGGACCCCCCAGCACCCATGGGACCCCCCAACACCCATAGGACCCCCCAGCACCCATGGGACCCCCCAGCACCCATGGGACCCCCCCGGCACCCATGGGACCCCCCCAGCATATGGGTGTCCCCGTCCCCATATGGGTGTCCCCGTCCCGGTGCAGGAGAAGGCGCTGGGGCTGGCGGCCAAGGGGGCGGCGCGGGACAAACCCAGCATCGTGGTGGAGCCCGACTGAGCCGGTACTGGGAGCACTGGGAGCACTGGGAGCGGCACCGAGGGCTCCGGGAGGGACCGGGGAGGCATTGGGCCATACTGGAGGGCACTGGGCCATACTGGAGGGCATGGGGCAAACTGGGGGAGGGCACTGGGAGCACTCTGTACCATACTGGGAGGTTACTGGGGCATGCTTGGGGCCACTGGGCCATACTGGGAGAGCATTGAGCCATACTGGGAGGGTTCTGGGTCATGCTGGGAGGGCACTGGGCCATACTGGGGTGGCACTGGGCCATGCTGGAGGGCACTGGGCCATACTGGAGGGGACACTACTATATGGGGCCATACTGGGAGGGCACTGGAGAGCATGTGGACATACTGGAAGGGAACTGGACCATACTGGGAGGCTGCTGGGTCATACAGAGAGGGCATTTTACCATGCTGGGGAGCACTTGGCCATACTGGGAGGGCCACTGGATCGTACTGGGGGGCCACTGGGCCATATTGAGGGTCATTGGGCCATACTGGAGGGCACTGGGCTATACTGGGGGGCTCTGGGCTGTACTGGGAGCACACTTTACCATACTGGGGGACATGGGGCCATACTGGGAGGGCACTGGGCCATACTGGGAGCACACCTTACCATACTGGGAGGCAATGGGCCATACTGGGAGGGCACTTTACCATACTGGGAGATCACTCTACCATACTGGGGGGCACTTTACCATACTGGGGGGCACTGGGCCATACTGGGCAGGTGCTGACCCCTCTCTCCCGCAGGCGGCGGGGCCGGCCCGGCCGGGGGGGCCCCACACCGAAGCCATAGGGGCCCCCCCCGGGCCCCCGGCCCCTGCCCTGCACGACAAGGGGGGGCCCGGCCCCCCCCCACTGTGAACCCCGGCGCCTGGGGGGGGCCTGGAGGGACCCAGGAGCCCCCCCCATGTGTGTGAATGTGGGGGGGGGGGCACCCCAATGTGTTTCTACGCCCCCCCCCCAAAAAAAAAAACCCTATGTGTTTGTATGGGGGGGGGGGTCCTCAAAACCCTCGTGTGTTTTTAGGGCCCCCCCCCCACTGTGTTTGTAGGGGGGGGGGCAGGTGTCTGGGAGCCCCCCCCCCCCCCCGAGCCCTCCTAATGTCTGTCTATGGGGCCCCCCCAAAAAATCTGGGTATGGGGCCCCCCCCCAAATGTCTGTGTATGCCCCCCCCCAAAAAAATCTGGGTATGGGGGCCCCCCCCAAATGTCTGTGTATGGCCCCCCCCAAAAAAAAATCTGGGTATGGGGGCCCCCCCCCAAATGTCTGGGTATGGGGGCCCCCCCCAAAAGTCTGGGTATGGGGGCCCCCCCCCAAAAAATCTGGGTATGGGGGTGCCCCCCCCAAAAATCTGGGTATGGGGGTGCCCCCAAACCCCCCCCCACCCCAATGTCTGGGGGGGGGCTCCCAGTATCCGTGTATGGGGGCGCCCCCCCCCCCCCCCCCAGTGTCTCCGTGTGCCCCCCCCCCAAGTGTCTGTGTATGGGGGGGGGTCCCCAATGTCTGTGTATGGCCCCCCCAAACCCCCCCCCCCCGTCTGTGTATGGCCCCCCCCCCCCCGATGTCTGTGTATGGGGGAGCCCCCCCGATGTACCCGGGGCCCCCCCAAAGCCCCCCCTTTGTGTCCCGTCCCCCCCCCTCCAGTCTGTGTCTGCGTGCGGGGCCGGGGGGGCCCCAGAAGCCATAGCCCCCCAATAAACCCCAGGAGCCGCCTGCGCCTGCCTGCACCGGGGACGGGGACACGGGGACACGGGGTTATGGGGACACGGGGTTATGGGGTTATGGGGTTATAGGGACACGGGGTTATGGGGACACGGGGACACGGGGTTATAGGGACACGAGGACAGGGGGATATGGGGTTATGGGGACACGGGGTTATGGGGTTATAGGGACATGGGGACATGGGATTATGGGGACACAGGGACACAGAGATAAGGGGTTATGGGGTTATGGGGACATGGGGTTATGGGGTTATGGGGACATGGGGATATGGGGACACGGGGACACAGGGTTATGGGGTTATGGGGTTAAGGGGACATGGGGATATGGGGACACAGGGATGTGGGGACACGGGGTTATGGGGACACGGGGTTATGGGGTTATGGGGACACGGGGACACGGGGACACGGGGGTTATAGGGACACGGGGTTATGGGGACACGGGGATATGGGGACACGGGGTTATAGGGACATGGGGACACGGGGATATGGGGACACAGGGTTGTAGGGACACAGGGTTATGTGGTTATGGGGTTATGGGGTTATAGGGACACGGGGACATGGGGACACGGGGACACCGGGTTATGGGGACACGGGGTTATGGGGTTATGGGGACACGGGGATATAGGGACACGGGGATATGGGGACACGGGGACAGGGGGATATGGGGTTATGGGGACACAGGGTTATAGGGACACGGGTTTATGGGGTTATGGGGTTATGGGGACACGGGGTTATAGGGACACGGGGACACGGGGATATGGGGTTATAGGGACACTGGGTTATAGGGACACGGGGTTATGGGGTTATGGGGACACGGGGTTATAGGGACATGGGGTTATAGGGACACAGGGATATGGGGTTATGGGGACACAGGGATATGGGGACACAGGGATATGGGGACATGGGGACACGGGGTTATGGGGTTATGGGGACACGGGGATATGGGGTTATGGGGACACGGGGATATGGGGACACGGGGTTATGGGGTTATGGGGACACAGGGATATGGGGACACGGGGTTATAGGGACACGGGGTTATTGGGATAGGGGGTTATGGGGACACGGGGACACGGGGACACGGGGTTATAGGGACACGGGGACAGGGGGATATGGGGTTATGGGGACACAGGGATGTGGGGACAGGGGAATATGGGGTTATGGGGACACGGGGTTATGGGGTTATAGGGACATGGGGACATGGGATTATGGGGACACAGGGACACAGGGATATGGGGTTATGGGGTTATGGGGACATGGGGTTATGGGGTTATGGGGACATGGGGATATGGGGACACGGGGACACAGGGATATGGGGTTATGGGGTTAAGGGGACACGGGGATATGGGGACACAGGGATGTGGGGACACGGGGTTATAGGGACACGGGGTTATGGGGACACGGGGATATAGGGACATGGGGACACTGAGGTATGGGGTTATACGGACACGGGGACATGGGGTTATGGGGACACGGGGACACAGGGTTATGGGGTTATACGGACACGGGGACACGAGGTTATGGGGACACGGGGTTATGGGGTAATGGGGACATGGAGATATGGGGACACAGGGTTATGGGGTTATGGGGACACAGGGATGTGGGGACAGGGGAATATGGGGTTATGGGGACACGGGGTTATGGGGTTATAGGGTTATAGGGACATGGGGTTATGGGGTTATGGGGTTATAGGGACACGGGGTTATAGGGACACAGGGATATGGGGTTATGGGGACACGGGGTTATGGGGACATGGGGACACAGAGATATGGGGTTATGGGGTTATGGGGACACACAGGGGGATATGGGGTTATGGAGTTATAGGGACACGGGGACACGGGGTTATGGGGACACGGGGACAGGGGGATATGGGGTTATGGGGACACGGGGATATAGGAACACGGGGATATGGGGACAGGGGGATATGGGGTTATAGGGACATGGGTTAATAGGGTTATGGGGATAAGGGGACACAGGGTTCTGGGGACAGGGGGACACGGGGACACGGGGTTACAAGGACACAGGGTTATGGGGTTATAGGGACACAGGGATATGGGGGCAGGGGCTTATGGGGACACGGGGACATAGGGATATAGGGACACGGGGTTATGGGGACATGGGGATATGGGGTTATGGGGACACGGGGATATGGGGACAGGGGGATATGGGGACACAGGGTTATAGGGACACGGGGTTATGGGGATATGGGGACATGGGGACACGGGGTTATGGGGACACAGTGTTATAGGGTTATAGGGACACGGGGATATGGGGTTATGGGGATATGGGGATATAGGGACACGGGGTTATGAGGACACGGGGATATGGCAACACGGGGATATGGGGACACAGGGTTATGGGGACATGGGGGTATAGGGACACGGGGTTATGGGGATAGGGGGATATGGGGACACAGGGATGAGGGGAAATGGGGTTATGGGGTTATGGGGACACGGGGATATAGGGACATGGGGACACAGGGTTATAGTGACACGGGGACATGGGGTTATGGGGATATGGGGACACAAAAACACAAGGACATAGGGACATCGGGATATAGGGACACGGGGGCATGGGGATATGGGGACACTGGGATATGGGAATGTGGGGACACTGGGATATGGGGACACTGGGACATTGGGATATGGGGACACGGGGACACGAAGATGGGGGCACGGCAGCATGGGGACACCGGGACAGAGGGACACGGGGTTATGGGGACACGGGAATGTGGGGGGACAAAGGGACATGGGACACGGGGATATAGGGTCACCGGGACATGGGGGGGTCACAGGGACGTGGGCACACGGGTATGGGGACAAAACACGGGGATTTGGGGACACGGCACGATGACACGGGGTCACGACACGGGGTTTGGGGACACCACGGGGAAAGGGGACCTGGGGTGGGGACAGGGACATGGGGACAGCGATTTGGGGTCATTGTGGGGCTCAGGGTGGGGACACGGTTATGGGGACGTGGGGGCACGGGGATATGGGGACACGGGGACACATGCCTGTGGGGTCATGGGGATATAGGGACATGGGGACATGGGGACACAGGGATATGGGGATATGGGGACACGGGGACACAAGCCTGTGGGGTCATGGGGACACTGGGGACACATGGCTATGGGGCCATGGGGACATTGGGACATGGGGACACAGGGACACCGGGATATGGGGACACGGGGATATGGGGACATTGGGGACATTGGGACATGGGGACATGGGGACACCAGGATATGGGGATTTGGGGACATGGGGACATGGGGACATGGGGACACAGGGACACCGGGATTTGGGGACATGAGGATATGGGGCCATGGGGACATGGGGATATTGGGACATGGGGACACCGGGATTTGGGGACACGGGGACATTGGGGATATTGGGACATGGGGACACAGGGACACCAGGATATGGGGATTTGGGGACATGGGGACATGGGGGACACATGGCTCTGGGGACACGGGGACATTGGGACACGGGGTCACAGGGACACCGGGATTTGGGGACACCAGGATTTGGGGACATGGGGACATTGGGGATATTGGGACATGGGGACACCAGGATTTGGGGACATGGGGACACATGGCTATGGGGACATGGGGACATTGGGGACATTGGGACATGGGGACATGGGGACACTGGGATTTGGGGACACCAGGATTTGGGGACATGAGGACATTGGGGATATGGGGACACGGGGTCACAGGGACACCGGGATTTGGGGACAGGGGGACATTGGGGATATTGGGGACATGGGGACACCGGGATATGGGGACACCGGGATTTGGGGACATGGGGACACGGGGGACACATGGCTATGGGGACAGGGGGACATTGGGGATATGGGGACATGGGGACACCGGGATTTGGGGACACCGGGATTTGGGGACACGGGGACACTGGGATTTGGGGATATGGGGACATGGGGACACCGAAATTTGGGGACACCGGGATTTGGGGACATGGGGACACCGGGATTTGGGGATATGGGGACATGGGGACACCGGAATTTGGGGACACCGGGATATGGGGACACGGGGACACGGGGACACCGGGATTTGGGGACACCGGGATTTGGGGACACGGGGACACGGGGGACCCCCTCCCGCCGTGGGGTCCCGCGCTGGGCGTGGCCCCGCCCCCTTCCCCTGGCCCCGCCCCCTTTTTCCCCCCTCCCCCTCCCCATCTCCCCCCCTCCCCTCCCCTCCCCTCCCCTCCCCCCGAGGCAGCGCC